AGTCAATTTGATTCCTGGGTATTCCATCTAGTCGGGTCTATGTGTATAATTGCTTTTTATGTTGTTTAGAAAAGGTATTCGCAAATAATCATTGATCTTGTAAAATTCTATCATACAATCTCCAGCATTATTTCTATCACCAAGGCCATATTTTCCAATTACTGACTCCTCTTTATTTTATTGCATTTCATTCACTAGTAATTATCAATACATTTTGATTGCATGCTTGATTAATTTCAAAGTGAAGAAGTTGGTATAGTTCTTCAAATTCATCATCACTGGCTTTAGTGGTTGATGGTACATTTGAAAATAATGATGTTAACCGAATTTTCTTGTAGGTGTATGGATATTATCCTATCACAGATAGCATTATACTTAAAGACAGAACTGGAAATGTGCTTTTTGATGATGAATGCTATACCATTCCACTTCAATTTTTCATTCCAGCATAGTAAACCATGTGATTGTAAGATTAAAAATGGCCAGTATCAGTCCATCTCAGATCACTAATGCCTAGGATACTGATCTTTATGTTTCCATTTCATTTTGACAACTTCTAATTTTCCTACATTCATATTTTATGCATTCCATATTCTAATTATGAATGGATGTTTTCAGTTGCTTCACCTCATTTTGTGCTTTGCCCCATCAGCAAACAAAGGTCCTGAAAGATTTACTCCATTCAAGTAATCACGGTCATCTCTGCTTTGAGGAGGCAATTCTTCCCCAGTCATATTTTGAGTGCCTTCCAAGCTGAGGGGCTCATTTGCTGCACCACATTTGACAGTGTTCTACTGCTATCCGTAATATTTTCATCTTCGAGTACTACATCTGACAATGTTCTGCTGCTATTGATATTAGTTGGTACTTATTAATGAACTTATTTAATGCAAGTAGTTTAGAAAAACTCGATGGCACCTAAAAACATCAACAACAAAGGTTCCATGGAAGAAACCCAGAGGAACCTCATTAGAAATGTTTGACAAAATGCTTCTGAAATGTCACAGTTTCAAAAAGCCTATGAACCATTTGTACTCTGTGACACCATGAGTTTAACTGGATGAAAAGTGGTTTGGTTGTTTTGTTTTAGCTCACTTTCAAAGTCCAGATTAATTTCTCCTTAATTTAGGACTTCTCCTCTAAACCTTCTGTCAGAAGGGAAGGTCCTAGTGAGAGATGCTGATGAGTAAAAATGAGCAACATGTGATAGGCTGGACATTTGACATTTGTTAATCTTCTTTGTTTGTCTCCCTCCACCTTCTCCCTTTTCTGGAGAAACCACTTCTCCACTCAGTCATTCTGGGATGTCTATCATAGTCATCACCCACTGATCACAAGGGTGGGGATGAGAGTATGCAGAGGAAGTTACTAGAGGAGACAGAACCCAGGGGATTTTCAGCATCTAAAAGGAATACAAGAAAAGTAGTTTAGAAAAACTGAGAAAAATGGTCAGAGAGGTAGAAGAAAATCTAGAAGAGAGAGAAAGGGTGAGCTGAGACTTTCAGGAGAGACAAATGCTGAATAAAATACAGGTGAGATGTGCAATGAGAAGAAGCTAAAGATTTAGTAACCAGCACTTACTAATGACAATAGTGAGAGCTGATTTAGTACAAAGGAGCTCTGGTGGTACAAGATTGTTAAGCACTTAGCTCTTAACTGAAAGATAGGTGGTTTGCACTCACCAGCTCCCTGAAAGTCTATCTGCTTTCAGAAAACTTTACAGCTAGAGATTTGAAATCCTTTGGGATAGTTCTATTTTGTTCTATAAAATTATAAGTTAGGATGCACTCAATGGCAATGGGTCTTGGGATTCTGTACAGTGATGAGGTAAGAAATTGAAGAGTGAGTGGACGGTGAGAAAGTAGAGATAATTGTTTGGATTAACTCTCAAGTAGCTAAGATGTGAAAGGAGCTCTGGTAGCGTAATGGTTACAAATCGGGCTGCTAACCTCAAGGTTGGCAGCTCGAAACTACCAGCCGTTCCGTGAAAGAAAGATAAGGCTTTCTGCTCCCGTAAAGATTTACAGCCTTGAAAACCCTGTACAGGGTTGCTGTGAGTCATAACCTACTTCACGGTATTTAACAACAACAACAAAGCTAAGATGTGAAGGGAAAAAGAAAGACACAACAGACAACAGAGAGATCTCAGGGTAGATGGACTTTCTACCCCGACTGTTGTTTAAGGAGAACTATTTGAATATGCTAATTTTGTTGTTGCTGTTGTTAGGTGCCATTCTGACTCATGACAACCCCATTTAGGGTTTCTGAGGAGTGGCTGGTGAGTTTGAACCACCAACTTTGCAGTTCAAACTGACTTTGAGGTAGAATGCTTATCTTACAGTGCTACAACATGCTCATAAGTCCCCCAAAACAGAGGGAAGGACTAGAAACAAAATAGAGAAGAGAATATGAAGAATGCAACAAAGACTAAAAGAAGGTGATCTTATAAGCTGCATAAAACATTGGGTCCAGGATCCACTGAAAGTATGAAAAAAAAATCCATACTTTTCACAGAAGGAAGGACAAGAAGGCCAAAGGGGAAAAGACATAAATGCATATGAAGTGTTAGTTGTTGTTATTAAGTGCTGTCGAGTTGATTCCGACCCATAGCGACCCTGTATAGGGTTTCCAGACAGTTGGTGAGCTTGAACCACTGATTTTGCAGTTCAAACGACTTTGCAGTCTGACACATTAGCCCACAGCGCCACACCAGGACTCCAAAGTCTTAGTTAGGAAATTGAAAATGTATATAGGATGGCTTCAATTTTCTCTATTATGTAGAAGGCATCCATCTCTATGAGAGAAAGGTCTGAGGTGGGATTGTTGTCTTTAAGTGCTGTGGAGTTAGTTCTGACTCATAGTGACCCTGAATAAGGTTTCCAAGACTTTAAATTTTTGCGGAAGCAGAAAGCTTCATCTTTATCCCATGAAGAAGCTGGTGGGCTCCAACATCCGACCTTGCGGTTTGCAGTCCAGTCCTTATTCTACAGAGCCACTGTGCTCCCTTGAAGTGTGATGGAGATTTGAAATTGTCAATGAGGAAGTAGCAGCCATGCCATGTTGTTCTGATGGCTCAGTTGAAGTTTGGAAATCTTAAGACTTCAGACAGTATGCATCTACTTATTTGTAGGTTTTTCTCTTTGTAGATAAGAGAGAAGATTGGGAATATTAGGGTATATGCTCTTGTTATTGTTAAGTGCCATTGAGTCAGTTCCAACTCATAGTGACTCTGTATAGGGTTTCCAAGGAACAGCTGGTGGGTTTGAACTGCTGACCTTCTGGTTCCAAGTCCAATGCTTATCCTGCAGTGCCATACCAGGAATCAAAAGGACAAAGGTTAGAAAGATAAGAATCATAGGAAGAAAGTGGAAGAAACAGTGTCCGGGAATCAGGGGAAAATCTTCAGGCAGGTGATAGATTAGGAAGAAAATAATAAATCGATAGAAGAGTGGTCTTGATGCATTCAGAGGTCTGTATAATGATGCAGGAACTAATGAAAGGAAGAGCGTTATGCGCACATGATGGTATTGTTAGATCATAAGATGTCAGAAAACAATGTCTACTGATGTTGATGTTCACAGTGGCTGAAGGTTATTGAATGTAGGAACTGGGGTAAAGAGAGTATGCCAGTCAGAACTCAAGGTTCTGACTCTCTGCTTCCTAAATTGTCTTATGATTTCGGATACTACCAATAAGAGAGGGTGCTTTGGGTTTCTTCTACGGACAACTAATATCATCATAAGCAAAGATTTTATTAGTAACTTTCTGAAAATAGCCTTATTTTCAAAATTCTCAGGAGGTTATTTCACTGCTACCTCCAATATATTGCATCTAATATTTACTATTTATCTGTGTAACGTTTTTTTGATTTCTAAACAACGGTGCTCTCACTTGATTACTCTTACATACGTGAATCACATATTGATCTGTCCACATTATAAACACCTAGATTATATTTCCATCCCTCCCAGAAACTGCTCTGTGCAGGGCAATTACTTAATTCTGCTTGAATGCCTGGATGAGAGCATGAATCAACAAGTACTAGAAAAGTTTTCATTTCTGACATGCAGCTTAATTCACTGACTGTGTTAAAGATGAAAAGGCTGAGGGTCAGGAAGGAGACCTCCCCAAGGTCAGGCAGATAGATTGAACTTGTCAAGAATCCAAGGAGGAGAAAAAAAAGACCAGACTTCCTGGTCAGATAGAGACTGAAGGGATCCCCAAGATTATGACCCTTAGTCACCCTATAGGTAGGTCTACAATTGAACTCACCCCCACAGTTCAACTTCCAGCCAAACAACATGTCTGTACTATAAGGGGAACAATCACACTAAAGAAGTATGCACTCCTTAGAATAATCAACCATTTGAGATGATAAGGGCAGTTTTTACTCAAGGGCAAAGTTCAGAAAGCATAGAAAGGAGGAGGAATGGAAACGGGAAACACAGGGAGGAAGTAGGATGTGTGATATTACATTATGGGAATTGCAATCAACGACATGAAACAAAATGTATATGAATGCTGAATGGGAAACTGATTTGTTCTGTAAACCTTCACCCGATTCACAATAAGAAATTAAGAAGGAGGAGACTTATTTGAAGAAGGCCCATAAATCTTTGTATCATGACCCATCTTCATGACCCAATTCCCTCCTCTGAAGTAATTTTTTTCTAATTTAAAACTGTGAATTAATATAGTTTCTCCCCAAATGTGTCATTTCAGTCAGAAGTTAAACAAAGCAACCTCACACTAGCAATCACCTGCCTGAATTTGCTCATTTTTATGTTGACAGCTTTCAACCTTAATCACAGGTTCCTGTTTCTTTGCCCTTTCTCCAACTGTTAAGTGCTATGGAGTTGGTTCTGACTCCTAAAGATCCAGGATAGGGTTTTCAAGATGCAGCTTGTGGGTTTGAACAGCCAAATTTAAGATTAGCAATCTACTGCTTATTCTACAATGCCCTACCAGGACATTCTATATTGGAAAGAAATGAAACTTACTTCTCCAGGAATGCCACACAAGATTTCTGTCCATAGATCTGTGCAATCCTCTTGGGTGTGTCACCAAAGAAGTCTGCGGCATCGATGGCGGTGTGCAAGGCATGTAGAGTTTTGAGCACTTCCAAATGACCAGACTCGGCTGCAAAATGAGCTGGAGTCCAGCCTACGTCAGTGACTAGACAGGGCCTGGCTCCATGTTCTATCAGGAGATGTATCACCTCCAGTTGCCCTTAGATGTACCAAAAAGAAACAGGATGAGACTGAGAAAAGGTCTCTTCTGGCCTGAGACCAGGGCCAGCCAAAATAACACATAAACAAAAAAATGTGTTGCCATCAAGTTAATTCTGACTCATGGCAACTCCATGTGTTACAGAGTGGAGCTGGTCAATAGGGATTTCCTGGTGTCATCTTCATGGAAATTGATTATCAGGCCTTTCTTCTGCAGTACCTCTAGATGAATTTAATCCACCTAACTTTAAGTTAGTAATGCAGTACAAACTATTTGCACCACCTGTTATTATTGTTGAGTGCCATAGAGTTGGTTTTGACTCATAGCGACCCTGTATAGGGTTTCCAAGACTGTAAATCTTTACAGGAGCAGAAAGCCTCATCTTTCTCTCGTGGAACAGCTGATAGTTTCGAACTGCTGACCTTGCGGTTTACAGCCCGATTCGTATCTACTACGCTACCAGAGCTCTTTAACCTAAATAGCACAGAAGACAGGAAAAATTGGCCTCTGAGTTTCCTAGCATCCTTTCTTCCCTTCCTCTCCCTCTCCACCCTACCACACACTCAGTTTTCCTCTTATCCTGTCCAGAAACCTTGCCACCACCAGGGGCTTGAGACTCTACACCTGTTCCCTGTGCCCCTTCCTGGACACTGCTTCACCTGTCCTTTCCCACTGGTTCTTTGGAATTTTGCTTTCTCTCTCAAGTCACACAATACTATACCACAAATTATAACACTGTGGCACAAACCATAAATATGCTCAACTACTAACCAAAAGGTTGGAAGTTCGATTTTACCAAGAGGAACCTCAGAAGAAAGGTCTGCCAATCTACTTACAAAAAAAAAAAAAAAAAGCAGCCATTGCTTGGGGCACAGTTCTACTTGGACACACATGGGGGTGACACAAGGCATACTTGATGGCAACTGGTTTTTTGGTTAAGGTTCACGGTTTTCAGCAGTCTCAGTGACAATGTTAAAAGCAAATACTTTTTGTCATGTGAAACTCACTTACATTGTGGCATAAGTTAATAGCCCAGTCAGATAGATGTGAGTTCATATCCCAGCAATACTACTTAATAGCTGTGGCATCTCAGACCAGAAATAACCGTTGGGAGCTCTCTGTTCCCTTATTTATAGATTAAGGGCACCACCACTTACCTCAAGGAGATACAAGTATGGCTACCAGCTGTTCCACAGGTGAAAAATGAGGCTTCTGCTCCCGTAAAGATTTACAGCCTTGGAAACCCTATACAGGGTTACTATGAGTCAGCACCAACTCCATGGCACACCATTGCCATTTACCTCACTGAGTTCTTGAGAAACTCAAATAAAGCCACACACATAAAACACCCAGTACATGGCAAATGCACACTAGGACGTGTAGGATAAACCACCATCAGTTTGTAATTAGATTTCTACAAAAATGCTTCTACTGACTTTCCTGCTGCCAGTTTTGCTTCCTGCCTGTTCATTCTCCACACAGGAATCCAAACAAATGTTTCCAAGAAAATGGTAGTTTCTTAACATTCTTTAATGGTTTTCTATTGGCAGGATTTTTAACAAGATGGGTTTTCCCACTATCCTTCTCCAATTCTACAACCAAGCTATGTTAGACATGGGGATTCAATGATGAACAAGACAAAAGCCCTGCCCTACAGGATGTACCATTAATTTACTGGAGGAAAGGGTAAAGAGTTAACAGTTACTGAGAGCAGACTACTGTTAGGGATGGTACAACTATTATCTTAATGAATCTTCACCCAAGGACTCCAAGGTAGCATATTGCCCCATTTTACAGAGGAGCAAACTAAGGCCCAGAGAAGTTAAAATTTAGTGACTGGACATACCAGGATTGGACACAGGCCCATGTGGCTCCAAAATAAATGTTTTTTTCAGACCTACTCTCAAATTGACTGATCACCTCATGAATAGTGGAATCTAAAGAGGTAGCTCTTACCTAAGCAGCGTCTACTCACCTTTGATCGCAGCCCAGTGAAGTGGGGTCCGGTCATTCCAGTCTTCATCCTTGTAGTTCGGGTCACAGAGACCTTTCTTTAAAATCTTTTTCACTGAATTATAGTCCCCCGCAGCCACAGCTTGGTGGAGCTTTGTCATGTCTGACACTTTGGCCAATTCCATGGCTAAGAATAACTGTGGGAGAGACTTGTCACTTAGGAAATTCTTTACAAACCTTTGATCTTAGTGAGTGATTCCATAGACTTCTTTCTGTATCCTTGAGTTTCTTTACTGCCTCCTGAATGGCACACAGGGTTGCCTCAAGTGTGTGTTCTGCTGAGTGTCTATTTGTTGTTGTTGTTGTTGTTGTTAAGTGCCGTCGAGTCGGTTCCGACCCATAGCGACCCTGTACAGGGTTTCCGAGGGTGTAAATCCTTACGGGAGTAGAAAGCCTCATCTTTCTCCCGCGGAGCGGCTGGTAGTTTCGAACCGCTGACCTTAAGGTTCGCAGCCCGATTCGTAACCACTACGCTACCAGAGCTCCTATTTAGATCTTCATTATTGTGGTTATTGCTTTCCTAACCCATTAACTATCAATGGCTCCCCGCTACCAAGAGAATTATGGCTAAAGCCCCTGAGCTGGCACTTAGAAGCCTCTGCTATTTGGTCTCCAACCATTTTTCAGTGCTATCTTGGAGTCCTGGTGCGGTGCTATGGGTTAATGCACTGAACTGCAAAGTCAGTTTAAACAGCAGGGTCAGCAGTTCAAGCTCACCAGCTGCTCCTTGGAAACCCTGTACTGGGTTGCTACAAGTTGGAACCACCTCTACTGCATTTAACGACAACAACATCTCCTGCTCCTACTCCAGAGTGCAAATAATGTGACTTGGAATTCATTGAGTAATTCTGTGCCTTGGCTTCCTCACTTGTATAATCTAAAGATAACATATGAAAAGTTTTTTCTTGAATACAGAGCAGGTGCTTCCTTATGGCTTTGTAGGATAAGCAGTGGGCTGCTTACCACAAGGTTGGTGATTCCAACCCATCAGTCACTCCTTGGAATCACTATACAGGGTCACTATGAAATGTAACCAACTCAATGGCAGTTAACAACAAAAACATTACTACACCATAGGGGGAGATGGATACGCTACAAACATACAAAATAGCAAGCTAAAAATTGTATCAATTTTATACCATGCACCAGTAGTTATCAAACTATAATCTATAGATTCTGAGAGATCTCTGAGCCCCTTTCAAGGAGACTATGAGGTCAAACTACTTTCATTATCATATTAAGATGTTATCATATTAAGATGTTAATGGCTTGTCACTGTGTTGACAGCTGCTCTATTGGTTTAAAAGCAATAGTGGGGGAAACTGCTGGTGCCTTAGCACAAAGCAGTCAGTGACACCAACCTGATCTGAGAGTCACCATACTCTTCACCACCAGACACTCAGGAAAAATGAATCCACTATGCCACTTTCAACAGGCCAGCCTTGATGAAGCACTGTTACAGATTGAATTGTGTACTTCCAAAATATGTGTAGAAGTCCTGGTGTGGCACCACAGGGTAAGCACTGGGCTGAAAACTGCAAGTTCAGTGGTTCAAACCACCAGCTGCTCCTCAGAAACCCTACACAGGGTCACTATGAGTGGGAACTGATTCCACAGCACTTAACAACAACAACAAAATATTTGTGAATTTTACTAGGCTAGGTTTCTGGGTCTGGAGTCCTGGTGTGGCACTGTGGGCTAATGTGTCAGACTGCAAAGTTGTTTGAACTGCAAGATCGGTGGTTCATGCTCACCAGCTGCTCCTTGGAAACCCTATACAATGGCACTTAACAACAACAGGATTCTTGGTATTATGTAATTATTCTCCATTTTGTGATCTGATGTAATTATCCTATGTGTTGTAAATCCTAACTTCTATGAAGTTAATGAGGCCAGGTACAATCCACAGGCTATGACTATATCTCCAGTAAATATCTTTTGAGATGTGAAAGATGTGAAAGAGAGCAGAGACCAGAGGGACCTCAGTCCCACTAAAAAAGAGGAGCTGGGAGTGGAGTGGCTGGCTGGGTTCAAACAGTCAACCTTTACATCACCAGTTGATCATGAACCATTTGTATCACCCAAGAACCTTAATTGTTATTGTTGTTGTTAAGTGCCATTGAGTCAGTTTCAACCCATAGTGACCCTGTGTAGGATTTCTGAAGAGCAGCTGGTGAGCTTGAACTGCCAACCTCTCAGTTCAAATGGCTTTGCAGTCTGGCGCATTAACCCACAGCGCCACACTAGGACTCCAGGAACCTTAATACTACACCAAAAATTGGTTCCTTGGTCGTGCAAATGGTTCATGATCAACTGGCAATCTAAAGGTTGACTGTTTGAACCCACCTTAAGGAGCTCTGGTAGCGTAGTGGTTACGAATGGAGCTGCAGACCTCAAGGTCAGCAGTTTGAAACTACCAGCTATTCTGCCTGAGAAAGATGAGGCTTTCTGCTCCCGTAAAGATTTACAGCCTCAGAAACCCTGTACAGGGTCGCTGTGGGTCGGAACTGACTCCACAGCACATTATTACCATCAACTCCATGGAATAAGTGAATTGCTTCCATAAAGATTATAGACAAGAAAATCATGTGTCACGGTGCTACTCTCTAGGACAAGAGGTCACCATGAGTGGGAATCTACTTGACGACAATGGCTTTGATTTAAATCTTTTGGTTTGGACTTTAAACTGGAGAGGGATTTGATGTTGTTAGATTTCGCTGAGTCAATTCTGACCCACAGCGGCCCGATGCACAACAGAACAAAACACTTCCAGTCTTGCACCATCCTTGCAATCATTATGTTTGAGCCCGCTGCTGCTGCCGTGGTGTCTCGTTGAGGGTCTTCCTTAGGTTTGGGGAAAATAGTCAGGGGACTAAAGTCATGAGGACTAGTTAACATAACTAAAGAAACTCCTATTTTCAGACAGGGTCACATTCACAGGTAGAGGGAACATGATTCCATCCATGTTTATCTACTTTATGCAAATAAAAAGACATAACCCTTGTCAGGCAGGCCCAGAGATCCTGACTCGCTTTGTCTGGACCGAGAGGCAGTCATCTGTATTTATTAATATCTAGGTGTGATTCTCATGTAGTCTCCAAGCTAAGAACTGCTGCATCCCTACCACCTCTACCTTACTTCAGGCCTCCAGCCTTGCTCCCTGCCGATCTATGTTCTACATTCCAGTCAGAGAGAGATAGCTATATGAGGTGTGGTCTATGAACTAACAGCTGCTCTGTGAACTTGTTGCTAAAACAGGATCTTAGAACCCACACCAGGCTACTGAGTCAGAATCTGCATTTTAACAAGTTCCCCAGATGATTTGAATATACAAGAAGCTGTCAAATTATGAGCACAGACTAAATCTGTGCGGTCCTCCTTGTCTTTACTATGGGTGCCACTCATGGGCTAGAATCTCACTTTTGGAATTTGTCTTCCTGCCCCTCATGGCTGCCTAGGACCCTGCTGGTCACCACTACACTGTGGGGATTCCACCATTGGCAACTGGTGGGCACCAAGTGGTGAAGTCACAGTCCAGACAGGCTCTCAGGGAAGAGAGAGGGCACCCTGGGATCTGGGTATCACTGGGGCCAAAAGCAGCATTGACCATCCAGTGTTCAGGCCACACTCTCTTAGCTGAGTGTTCTTTGCCCAGAGAACGTCTCCAGCTAAGGGCTGTTGCTGTTGTTGTTGGGTGCCTTTCAGCTGATTCTGACTCATAGTTCCCCCAAGTGACAGTAGAATTGCCTCTTAGCTGTTATCGTCACAACAAAACAGTGCTTTCTTCCACAGAGACTTTGGGTGCGTTTGAACCATCAATCTTTCAGTTAACAGTCAAGTTGCCTGGCATATTTACAATAACATAGAGTTCCTGATTCAGTAAGCCTGGAGTGGGGTCCAAGAATTTGCATTTTCTACCAAGTTCCTGGGCAATGCTACTGCTATTGGGCCATAGGGTTGTTATGAGTCAGAATCAACTCCATGGCGGTGAGTTTGATTTTGGGTATGCGAAGGAATGTTGTTGTTGTTGTTGTTAGGTGCCATCGAGTTGGCTCCGACTCATAGTGACATTATACACAGCAGAACGAAACACTGCCCGATCCTAGGCCAACTTCACTACTGTTGCCACTCTTGAGTCCATCAATGCTGCCACTTGGCCAATCCGTCTTGCTGGGGGTCTTCCTCTTTCTCTCTGACCCTCCACCTTACCCAACATGATATCCTTCACTATTTGGTAATAAAAAGGATAGAATACATGATTCTTATATGATTCTATTTATGTGAATTGTCCAGAATAGGCAAATCAATAAGACAGAGGAATCCCTGGGTGGTAAAAATGGTTAAGGGCTCACCTTTGAACTGAAAGGTTGAGGTTAGAACCCACCCAGAAGTGCCTTAGGAGAAGGTCTGGGATCTACTTTGAAAAAATCAGCCACCAAAAACCCTATGGAGCACAGTTCTACTCTTACACACCTATAGTCACTGTAAATAGGAATCGGCCAGACAGCAGCTGGTTTATAGTTTACAGGATGTAGATCAGTGGCTATCTAGGGTCAGGATTAGGGTAAGGTTGGAGAGTGACAGCTGATGATACAGAATTTCTTTTGGGGGTAATAAAGTGTTCTAAAACCAGATTGTGGTGGATGATAGTTGACAGTTCTGAATGTACTAAAACCCAATAAATCGTATTCTCAAAGGGAACAGTTTTATGGCCTATAAATTATACTCATAACTTACTAAAGCAGTTTAAAAAATAAATGAGAGTATTAACTTTTTAATAACCAAAATTATTCTCAGAAAATTATATACAATTATCTAGTCTATCACTATCTTTTCCTCACATGAATCCTGGAAATTTTATGTACTTGAATTTCTGTCTTTCTGGCAGACCTGTCTCAACTTAAAAATTAGCCAGAAACTATGAATGATAAGGAATCGTGGTGTGGCACCATAGGATAAGCACTTGACCTCAAGGTCAGTTTGAACCTCAAGGTCAATGGTTCAAACTCACTAGTCACTCCTCGGAAACCCTATATATAGGGTCGCTATGAGTCAGGACTGACTCGACAGTACTTAACAATAGCAGCAACATGTCTAATAAATGTGAAAGATCTCTAATATATCTAAGGAAACATCTGAAGATAGAGGTTATATAAAAATACTTACTGTCTGATTTGAAATCTGAGGAGCTCTGTGTTGGCAGGCAGTCTTAGCTGCTGGAAGTTTTGTTGTAGTCACACCATGGAAACAGACCCCTCCTTCCTCATTAAAGCCCTCCAGTCTATTTCAGTCTCATTAGGTGTCAGATGGGGAGGGGTTGTTACTCTGCATGGCACTGAAACTCTTTAACAACTTCAGTTGTCTTCATCCGTTCGTTCAAGTGTGGTCCTTAAAATTGATCAGAAAAAAATGAAAATTAAACAACAAAAACAGAAACAGCCAGCCATTGCACAACACTGTGAAGTAGAGAAGCTGTCAGTGACCACTTGTTATGTTTGTCCTATGTGGAATAGTAGACATAGCTTGGACCTACCACACTCACATCCGGCCTTGAGATCTTAGAAAGACCCTTAGTTTGTCTGAGCCTCTATTTTTTCACCAAGAAAATGAAGTCTTAATAACTTTGTCTTAGGGGTATTCAGATGGTTAGTGGAAGTACTTTATAAGGCACTTGGCACAAGGTAAATAAAATAAAAATAAACAGAGTAAATAAGATACCACCAACAACAAAAACTTTAAGTTTTTTGCAAACTCCTTGCCTTGTCTATTGGCTTCCTTACTCTAAGCATCTTCCCACATACGTTCACTGAAGACCTTATAGCTCACAAACACCCCACTGAGCCCTGTGCAAACAAGACAATCATAGCCTCTGGCTTCCTAGAGCTTAGAATCCAGAGAAAAAGACAGACATTCACAAGAAAACTAACAAAAGTATAATGACAAGCTACATGGAATTGCAAAGAATAATGGGTCAGGAGGGCAGTCATGGACAGCCTCATTGTTGTTAAGTGCCTTCGAGTCAGTTCTGATTCATAGCAGCCCTGTATAGGGTTTCCGGATAGCAGCTGGTGAGTTTGAATGAATGGTCGACCTTGCAATTCAAACCGACATTATCCCACAGCGCCACACCAGGCCTCCATGGACAGCCTCAGAAGGTGACATATGCACTGAGACCTGGAATATGGCAAGTCAGGCATTCCAGGTAGAGGAAGGGATACAGATTGACTTGTGCAAGGAATAAAAAGGAGCACAGGTCACATTCTTCTCTAATGCACTAGAATCATTATCCAGGGTAGAGTATATTCTAGACTAGAACACTCCTTAGAAGACAAGATGACCAGATTTGTCTCAGACTTCAGACATATTATCAGGGGGCACCCGTCTCTGAAGAACGACATCATGTTTGGTAAAATGAAAGGTCAGCGAAAATGAGGAAGATCCCAAACGAGGTGGATTGGCACAGTGGCAGCGTCAATGGGCTCAAGCTTAAAGATTATGAGATTGATGGAAGACCAGCCAGTGTTTCCTTCTGTTGCACATATAGTCACTATGGGTCAGAACCAACTCAACGGCACCAAACAACAACAACAAATATAGTTCTGCAACAACAGTAATGATAAGAAAAATCTGTGACTGACTGCATAGGTAGATATGTATGCTATATAAATGTGAAAGGATGTCTACGGGTCCATGCATGTGCACATATTGTGGACATTTGTATACACATGTTTGTATGTGCTATATAATTATTCATAAAGCGTATAGGGGACTCAGTTGTGGAAACTTCCGAGACATAACTAAGCAACTCATGGAGCTGGATCAATTGGGATTATGGTTCTTAGAAATAATCTGCATCTTCATCTGGCAATAGTGTTAGGGATCTTTTGCTTATGAGTGATTAACTAAGATTCAACTATTGGGCTCCTACCCAAAGCAAAACAAGAGTAAAGTCATAGGACTAATGACCCCTTCAGCCTAAGACCTGAACTAGATGGTGTTCTGTTCAAGGACCAAATATAAAGTCCCAGTTAGAATTGGATAAAAATGTAGAACAAAATTCTAATTCATAAAAAATATGCCAGACTTACTAGACTGATAGAGACTGGAAGAATGCCTGAGCTAATCATCCAAAAACACCCTTTTAATTTAGAACTGACGCCTCTCCCATATATGGTTTGAGAAAATAAACAACAAAATGTGCTATGCTGTTGAGCAGCTGATGGGTTTGAACTGCCAACCTGTGGCTAGCAATCCAGTGCTTATTGTACCGCACCACCAGTGCCTCCTACAAGATAGTTGTTGTCAGTGCCATTGAGTTGGTCCTGAGAATAGTCAATTATATAAGACCAAATGGGCAACATTTGCCCAAAAGCAAAGATGAAACAGCAAGAAGGGACAGAAATAGAGACAAGGATGGTGGTGGTGGTGATTGTGTGATGTACAGTCAGGTTCCACCTCATTGTTGTTGTTAAGTGCC